GCTGCTGGGGCCGGGGCCGGGGCCAGGGCTGGCCGGGCTGCACCGCCGCTGTGGGGGCTGGGGCGGGCCGGGCTGCGCCGCCTCCCCATGTATACGCCGCTACGGGGAATGCACGGGTGTGGTGTATACAAGGACTAATTTATGAAAATAAATTTTCTGTGGGTTATATGTGGGTGCAGCTTATACCCGTGGGCGGGCTATATGCACGAAAATACGGTATATGTTTCTAACACTCTGATTAAAAGTTACCCTTTGAATAAAAATATCTCCCCCTCTTAGTTCCTCAGATTTTATTCTCTGGATTTATTAAGTCATGGTTTCATTAATTCACCACTTACCATAAACTCTCCTGGGACAGAAAACACCCCAAATTTCTAATCTTAACAAAATGAAATAATCATCTACTCTTTTTATGTTACCAGTCTTGTCTAACCTATCAGAACATTACATGTCATAAAGAAGTAACAGGTAACAAAAAAAAGCACAAACATTTGTCGTTATTATTGTATCTGTATGGATTACCATGCAGTTAATGATCACTTCAGATATTTGCAGAATCACATTGGAGATTCATGAAGAATTAGTCAAAAGGGGTTTTTTATAAATCAATTTAAGGCAGGAGGTGACTTGGAAAGGCTCATTTAAAAATAATGTATTTGAGATTTCTCTTTAGTTGGCTTTGTGCAATTTATTGACTTTCCCCAAAGAAAGGCATTTTCATCTCCTCCTAGAAAAATACCCATTTTGTTTTCCAAATATAAACAAATATTTATGTGAAGAAAAGCTCATTCTAATTCTTCAAAGTATTCACTCAAACAAACAAGATCAATGGTACTGATACTTCCTTCTCCTGAATTAAACAGGAGATGTGACATTACAAAAACTCACCATGTGAAGTAAGTAGCTATATGTAGTTGCTTAAACAATGGCAAATTGATAGTGATTTCATCTGTTTAAAATGAACAGTGGTACTTTCATTTAATAATTATTTTGAGGGGAAAGAGCCATTTACTTAATCACCTATACCAGTAGTGAACAACCTTTTTCCCCCTTGGGCCAGATGGATGGTGCTCAGTCCGTACACAGGCTGGATCTGGCTGGAGGACCTGATCCAGTGCTTGGGACAATGAGGCAGAGCCCAATCTGGCCATGTGGGGCTGGGGGGGGGGAGGGGTGTCAGGGAGCTGCTCAGACGTAATCCAGCTGCATGAAGGGAAAGGGGGCATGACCTGGCCCCAAAGAGTTTGGGAATTTGGCAGTGGGGACGGGTGGCAGTATTAACGGCCACTGCTCCAATGCCACCAAACTTGACACCTTGGGGAGCCCCATGAGCCAGATGCTATGACTCCATGGGTCACATTTGGCCCATGAGCTGGCGATTGAGCACCCCTGACCTACACCACTCTCTGCTGCTTCTGGTTTTCTTGAATGTCTCCCAGTTAAGTAACAGAGCTGATTCTATTAATTTATGAGATCTCAAGCAAGCGCACCCAAGAAAGGCATTCTAATGCTTGCATTTGGTGATCATTCTAATATTATAAAAGCCTAAGTCTGTCTGTCCATCTGTCTGTAATGGTTTTTTTGCGCTCTGATTGGCTGACAAACAGCCAATCAGAGTGCGAACAAGCATTTGAACAGGAGCTGGTGGTGGTGGAGCATCGCCATGATGGCAGGGACGCACAGCGCTATGAGGGGGGGGACGGGGGGGGGGGGGGGGGGGGGGGGGGGACAAGCCAGCTCCCTGGAGGCAGGGGCAACAGTAGACAGAACAGGGGGGTGAGGCCACCTGCAGGGCCCGACGTGGTGGCGGGAATACCAGGCACGCCAGAGCGGTGGGGGGAGAGGAGGAGTGGGCTCGGGCCCAATGCGGGGGAGGACCAGGCCCGAGGGTGGGGAGAAGCTGGGTTGCTGTGGTGGGGGTGGAGCAGCGGGCTTGGGCTGACCCAGTGATGGT